TTCTCTCTTTTATGTGCAGGTTTTTTGTGTATCGTTCCAGTCACGGTATCATGCCTTTTTTTGTTATTCATACATATACATGGGATACAGACATAGCTGACATCAGTGACATACTACTATATAGAAAGCCGCTTGTTATGCAGAGTATTTCAAGCAAATTAGGTCAGTGTCCCAGGATAACGCCCACACCAGTCGACCACCACCCAGGTACCCATTTACTGATGGGTGAACATAGACAACAGGTGTAAAGAAATGCCCAGTGTTTCTACCCTGGCTGGGAATCAAATATTCACCAAAAGTCATGTATGGCTAACCCAAGCCAGGTACTAGAAATAAGCCACGTTGTCTGACTTTTTTTGGGTTATCCTAGGTTCTCTACACATATGCTGCTGTGTGTGGTAATCTATATAGAGAAAATAGCTTTTTTGTTTCAGGTTTATATTGCAGTACGAGTGCATATCAGAGTTAGCCTTGTGCTACACTCCGTTTTCTCTAATATAAGCCCCAAGACAGGGATAGGGGAATGGTATTTGTATCTCGTATCCTCTTCATACCTCCGTCGAACTGCTTGGTGTTATGCCAAATATTATTTATTCTGGAGTATTTAACATGTTTTATGTTATTTATATTGTTTATTATGTCATACTAGATCAATTGTGATAGGCAATAAGCTGTAATGTTGATATTAGTGTAATAATAAAGCATATTCTGCATCATGAGACTGAGCTCATGACAACCGACAGTGGCTTCAAAGCCACCTTATCTTTAATGGATAATGTACTGTGTAGGTGCTCTACATAATGAGAAGCATTTCTTTTATTCATTGGAACCATGGCTAGGGCTAAAAGTAAGCAGGTTATAACAATAAATGGAGAAAAAGAAATTAGAATGACTTATGCAGCAAGTAGCGCCACCAAACAGTACCAGCAGGTTGGTGTGGCGACCCTGGAAATTTGAAATTATGCTATCCGAAATTAGTACTGAATAACTGAAGGAACCGAATAACTGATTGCCGGATTTGTGATGGCGGACCTGTACTTGTCATCATGAAACCAATCAGAATCATCTCTATTTCTGTAATATATCTTCCATTCTATCAAATGAGACCAAGGAAATGAGAATATAACCATAAACACCATATGAAAATGCACTAGAAATTCAGTTTCAAACCAAAAACATGGTCAATTTTTTTTTTCACATGCACAGCGTGCTTCAGGATTTTTTTTATACTGCACAAACTAAACCCACAGACCCACTCTTTCATATGTAGGCCTGCCAGCCTTCTTCCACCAGATTTGAAGGCACTAGAATTTAGGCATACAAGTGCATGACCAACCCTGGCTGCAATGATGTACTTGTACGTGACCAACCCTCGAAGAGTTAAGTAACGTTTTTGTGTCAAAATATTGGCTCGGTTAATGACAAAGAACTCGGTTAAAGTCATTCGTAATGAACGTGTCCGTGTGACTTGAACGGCCCGGCCCCTCCATGTACAGCCAGCGTGCCATTGTTTACAAGACAGTGAGGACGATTCCACGTGTACATGCAATACATTTTGTATTATTCCATTGTTTTTAGTGCTTGTAACTGCTAAATAAGCCACCATGGGCCCAAAGAAAGCTTCTAGTGCCAGCCGTGTGGTAAAGAGGGTGAGAAACATTATTGAATTCAAGAAAGAGATCATTGCAAAATGTGAAAGTGGAGTGTGTGTCTCCGAGCTGGCCAGGTTGTACAACAAACCCCATACAACCATCGCTACTATCTTGGCCAAGAAAAAGGCAATCAAGGAAGCTGTTGTTGTGAAAGCTGCAAATATGCTTACAAAACAGAGATCGCAAATACTCGAAGATGTGGAGAGACTGTTGTTGGTGTGGATCAACGAGAAACAATTATCAGGAGATAGTGTTTCGCAGTCAGTTATATGTGAAAAGGCAAGGCAGTTGAATGATGATCTCATAAAGAAAATGCCTGGAACTAGTGCCAATGTTGGTGAATTTAAAGCCAGCAAAGGCTGGTGTGACAAGGCATGGTGAGGCTGCCAGTTCTGACAAAAAAGCAGCTGAAACATATGTGTAGGAATTTAAGGGGTACATAGAGGCTGAACAATTAAAACCCCAGCAAGTGTTCAGATGTGATGAAGCAGCCTCTGTTTCGGAAGAAAATGCCAAACAGGACCTACATTACTCAGGAGGAAAAGGCACTCCCAGGACACAAGCCTATGAAAGACAGGCTAACTATCATATTTTGTAGTAATGCTAATGGGATTGCAAAGTGAAGCCTTCACTCTGAAACTCCCAGAGTGCTCAAGAAAAACAGTGTCATCAAGACTAAATTGTGTGTGATGTGGAGAGCAAACAGTAAGGCATGGGTCACTAGGGACATTTTCCTAGATTGATTCCATGATGTGTTTGGCCCCAGTGTGAAAAAATACCTCCTGGAAAATAAATTGGATCTCAAGTGCCTCCTGGTATTAGACAATGCTCCCTGCTCATCCTCCAGACTTAGAAGAGCAAATGGTGCCAGAGTTTAGTTTCATCAGAGTCAAGTTTTTGCCTCCTAATACCACTCCTCTCCTCCAGCCCATGGACCAGCAGGACATTTCAGATTTCAAAAAACTGTACACTAGAGTAGTGTTTCGAAAGTGACCTCAGACACTGAATTGACCATAAGAGAGTTCTGGTAAAATCACTTCAGTATCCTCAGTTGCATAAACCTTATAGGTAAGGCTTGGGAGGGAGTGACTGCAGGACTTTGAATTCTGCTTTGAGAAAATTGTGGCCAGAATGTGTACAAGAGAGGGATTTTGAAGGGTTTGGGGCTAACCCTGAGGAGTCTATGCCAGTTGTGGAATCTGTTGTGGCATTGGGGAAGTCCATGGGGTTGGAGGTTAGTGGCGAGGATGTGGAAGAGTTGGTTGAGGACGGCGATGAAGAGCTAACCACTACAGAGCTGCAAGAGCTTGAGGAGCAATACCAACAGACCACAGCTCAGGAATTTCCTTCAGAGGAGGAGAAAGAAAGATGGAGGAAGTTGCCTTCTTCAAAGATTAAGGACATTTGTGCGAAGTGGACTAAAGTGCAAACCTTTGTGGATGAACATCACCCACACAGCTGTTGCAGGCCGTGCTGGCAACATCTACAGTGAAAATGTTGTGTCCCATTTTAAGGAAATCTTAGAGACAGCAGAAACAGCTCTCTGGACAGATTTTTGGTGTGACGGGTCCAGTGACTCTCAAGCTGGTCCTAGTGGCATTAGAAAACAAAGAAGGGAGGTAACCCCGGAAAAGGACTTGGTACCTGAAGTCTTTATGGAAGGGGATTCCCCTTCCAAACAATTGTAAACTCCTCCATCCTCTCCCGTCTCATCACTCGTTAATAAGTCTTCAGTAAAGGTAAGTGTCATTTTAGTATTGTTTATTCTGTGTGTCTCATTGTTTTCTGTATAGGGAAATGTATATTTTCATGTAAAAAAAATATTTTGTTTAATACTTTTGGGTGTCTGGAACGGATTAATTGGATTTACATTACTTCTTATGGGGAAAATTAATTCGGATTATGACAGATTCGGTATAAGACACGCTCTCTGGAACAGATTAATGTCGTAATCCGGGGGTCCACTGTACAGTAAAATTAGGTGAAATTAAGTTAATCACACAGTTTTTGTGGCATTCATGGGAAGACTTATGCAGCTCAATTTTCGTACAGCTTTTTAGTTCAGTTTAGCAGACCACTATAATGTTCGAGCAGTGTCCTTTGACATTTTTCAAAATTTAGTTATTTTGCAGACTATTTTCTACAGCATTATTACACTCAGAGGTAGGGCACTAAACCTGAAGGGATCATATAGCATCTGGGGGAAATAGGAGGCAATCAGACTGGATCCAAAAGAGAAGTCATCAGGTCTAATTCATTTAATAATGAGCTCCTCACTAGTGTCAGTGAACCTCACCTAATGGGTTTAGTTTCTTCAGGTAGGTTCTTTCTTATTTTTTAAAACTTGAAATGTTTAAGAGGTACAATATTATGTGAAAACTTTTATATTCCATTACAGCTGTCTATTCAAGATCTTATAGGTGTAAAATGTACAAAACTTTCATAAACAGTAGTCAGTGAACAGTAGGTTTAGTTGTTTGTGGAGAGGGAAGATAATTGTATAAAACAATTGTATTATGGTTCAATGGCAGACTTGTGTAGGTGACAGCAGTGCTGTATGACCCTAGTGGGTTTAGTGCTTCTTTTTTATTATATTAATAATAATAATAATGTGTAGTCCAGGGAGGTACTACCGTCCTGCGAAATGAGTGTAAAATGAAGCCTGTAATTGTTTTACATGATGGTAGAATTACTGGTGTTTTTTTTTGTCTCATAAACGTGCAAGATTTTAAGTACATCTTGCTACTTCTTGCACTTAGGTCACACTACACTTTGATGTACAAGCATATATATAAAACACCCCTCTGGATTTTCTTCTATTTTCTTACTAGTTCTTCTTTATTTCCTCTTTTCTCCATGGGGAAGTGGAACAGAATTCTTCCTCCATAAGCCATGCGTGTTATAAGAGGTGACTAAAATGCTGGGAGCAAGGGGCTAGTAACCCCTTCTGTATACATTACTAAAGTTAAAGAGAAACTTTTGTTTTTCTTTTTGGGTCACCCTGCTTCAGTGGGATACGGCCGGTTTGTTGAAAGAAAGAAGAAGAATAATGTGTAGGTGACAGCAGTAGACCCCCTCTAAAAAAAAGTTTAGATTAGTTTTTTTTCATGTACTTCCACCTGAGAATTATATTTAGGGGAAGAACTAAACCCATAAGGGTCATGCAGCACCTGGGAGATTGGTAAGAAATTAAATTAGATCCAAGGAAGAGAATAAGTCCAATTCCTTGAATCAAGAGTCATTCACTTGCATCAACAACCTCCCTTGATGGGTCCTGGAAAGCTCCAGGAAATAGGGTAGAAGTAGACGTGTGTTAAATTGCTATAGCTTTTTCTATCCTTTTCTTAGGGCCAAATGGAACTGAAGGAAACAGTGGAGGTATGGAAGCAGAAGCACGGTCTGATGTCTTACTGGCGGGATAGTGTTGAACCTCGGCCCAAAGACTTCCTCAGCAAGTTCCTAGATGGTCATGAGTGATACCTTCATTAATTTGTTAACCTCGTGTCCTGTCCTCACTTGCTGGCTGTGTTTATCCAGCTAATAAGTAATTGAAATATTGGCACAATTTCAGTAAATCTAGTTAAATTCAATATGAATATAATTTGTAAATTATTAAATTATGGGTATTCTTTATAAATTAATAATAAATTAATGTAACTTGATGTATTTATGTAAATATTTTTATTAAATATTGAAAACTTTTGCATGTAGATATTATATTCCTGTTCATTGTCTTTTTAATAAAATGCTTTTCTTTTAATGCTGAGTAGTACATAATAAAAAGTAATTAAGCCATGAAAATTGGAGATTTGACAAGAAATGCTCGCAGTAACACTTTGTTGTTACTTCCAAAATTAAAAATGCTAAAAGTCACAATTTACAAAAAAAGTTTTCAAGGGGGAAGGGGCTCCTTGGCACGGTGAAGAGGCTTTTGGTCCGAGAAATTGAACCATTCGGTTTTCCTCTGACCAGACCTAATTACCCTCCAATGCCAGGTATTGTCCATCCCATTTTGTTGAGGTCTTTGGTTTTAGTGTAGTTTGCTGTGGAATCTGGATCAGGGGATGTCCCAGTTCCCCTCTGATTTGGAGGGTGTCTCATGATGTCTTTCAGGTGACAAGTGTATCTCTGAAGGTTGCTTGTCAGATTCTGAGAGGTGGTAGGAAAAAGAGGTATGTCTTGTGGCAGGTTTCCGACTGCCCTCTCTTGTCCACCGAGATGGCTCGGTGGATGTGAGGTTATCCTGAATTGCCAGTTTACTGGCATGAAGGGTAGGGTATGACACAGGTTCCATGCTGCATCTGCACTATTGACTGCGCTAAGGTCCTCTTGGGCATGGAAGGGGAATTTGTGGTCCTTTCATTCCTCCTAGGAGCTGCCCTCCTCCCTTTTTCTTAACGTATTTTGCTTTTTCCTTGTTTTGGAAAAACAAGAGACAGTGACCTAACCATGTGGTCTCAAGTCCATGATACTTCTCCTTCCAGACCCCTTTACAGTGGACCCCCGACTTAGGATATTAATCCATTCCTGAGAGCACACTGTAAGACGGAATTATCCTAATTAATTTTCCCCATAAGAAATAATGGAAATCAAATTAATTCATTCCAGACACCCCAAAGTATGAAAAAAAAAAGATTTTTACCACATGAAATATACATTTTCCTACACAGAAAAAGAAGGATACATGCACAATATATATTGTGTAATGAAGAATAAATGACACTTACCTTTGTTGTTAGGTAAGACACATATGCAACAGTTAGGTATCTTTATTTTGAAACGTTTTGCCTACACAGTAGGCTTCTTCAGTCGAGTACAGAAAAGTTGATAGAAGCAGAAGAGACTTGAAGACGATGTAATCAGTCCATCACCCTTAAAGATTTGAGGTGGTCAGTCCCTCAGTCTGGAGAAAAGCATTGTTCCGAAGTCTGAAACAATATGTTTCAGACTTCATATTGTTTCAGACTTTGGAACAATGCTTTTCTCCAGACTGAGGGACTGACCACCTCAAATCTTTAAGGGTGATGGACTGATTACATCGTCTTCAAGTCTCTTCTGCTTCTATCAACTTTTCTGTACTCGACTGAAGAAGCCTACTGTGTAGGCGAAACGTTTCAAAATAAAGATACCTAACTGTTGCATATGTGTCTTACCTAACAACCTGTCGGTATTTTATACCATTTTAATGTTCGACACTTACCTTTATTGCAGATGTGGTGATGAGTGATGGGATGGGAGGAGGGGAGATGATGGAGGTGTTATTTTTTTGAAGGGGAATCCCCTTCCATGAGGACTTTAGGTAGCCAGTCCTTTTCTGGGGTTACTTCCCTTCTTCTTTTAATGCCACTGGGAACAACTTGAGAGTCACTGGACCTCTGTCACACCAAAAATCTGTCCATAGAGCTCTGTACCTTGCATTCCTTTAAGATTTTCCTAAAGTGGTTCACAACATTGTCATTGTAAAAGTCACCAGCACGGCTTGCAATAGCTGTGTCAGGGTGATTTTCTTCCATAAAGGTTTGCAGTTCAACCCACTTTGCACACATAAGAACATAAGAATGTAGGAACACTGCAGAAGGCCTACTGGCCTATATGAGGCAGGTCCTTATCAAAACGACCTCTACCTAAAGCTACCCAAGAAATAACTCCCGTACCCCATGACACCAATCAAACCCAGCCTCTCCCACTCATATATCTGTCCAGTCTCTTCTTAAAGCTACCCAAGGTCCTAGCCTCTATCACCCCACTGGGAAGACTGTTCCACGCATCTACAACTCTGTTAGAAAACCAGTACTTACCTATGTCCTTTCTAAATCTAAATTTATCCAACTTATATCCATTATTTCTGGTTCTTACCTGGTTCGACACCCTCAGTACTTTATTATCTCCCTTGTTTATGCCTGTCATCCACTTATACACTTCAATAATATCTCCCCTCATTCTACGCCTCTCCAGAGAGTGGAGATTTAAGGCTTTAAGTCTATCTTCATACAGGAGGTTCCTTACACAGTAAATCATTTTAGTCATTCTTCTCTGTATGTTCTCTAATGAGTCTATGTCCATCCTGTAGTAAGGGGACCAAAACTGAGCAGCATAATCTAAATGAGGCCTCACTAGTGATGTATAGAGCTGTAAAATAACTTTTGGACTTCTGTTACTTATACTTCTTGAGAGAAATCCAAGTAATCTGTTGGCTTTGTTGCACACACACTAAGGCACTGCTGTCTTGACTTTAGATTTCTGCTTACCATGACTCCCAAGTCTTTTTCACATTCTGTATGATCAAGCTCTACTTCACCTAGATTATAGCTTCGAGGGTTATTTTCATTATCAAGGGCAAGTACCTTACACTTATCCACATTGAACTTCATCTGCCATTATCATCCTTAATCTTTGAAGAAGGCAACTTCCTCAATTTCTCTCCTCTCCTCTGAAGCAATTTCCTCAGTTGTGGCCTCTTGCTGTTGCAGACGCTTTGCAGCTCATCAGTGGTTAGTTCTTCATCGTTGTCCTCCACCAACTCTTCCACATCCTTCCCACTAACCTCCAACCCCATGGACTTCCCCAATGCCACAATAGATTCCACAACTGGCATAGGCTCCTGAGGGTTAGCCCCAAACCCTTCAAATTCCCTCTCTTGTACACATTCTGGCCACAATTTCCTCCAAGCAGAGTTCAAGGTCCTTTTAGTCCCTTCCTTCAAGCCTTACCTAAAAGGTTTACACAATTGAGGATACTAAGGTGATCTTTCCAAAAGTCTCTTAGGGTCAATCGAGTATCTGAGGTCACTTCAAAGCACTTTTGAAACATTGCTTTGGTGTACAGTTTTTTGCAATTTGAAATGACCTCCTGATCCATGGGCCGGAGGAGAGGAGTGGTATTAAGACGCAAGAATTTCACTTTGATAAAACTCAAGTCCCCCGACATTTGCTCTAAGTCTGAAGGATGACCAGGAGTATTGTCTAATATCAGGAGGCACTTAAGCTCCAATTTATTTTCCAGGAGGTAATTTTTCACAGTGAGGCCAAACGCATGGTAAAACCAGTCATAGAAAAAGTCCCTAGTGACCCATGCCTTACTGTTTTTCCTCTACATCACACACAGATTAGCTTTGATGACATTGTTTTTCCTAAACACACTGGGAGTTTCAGAGTGATACATGAGTAGAGGTTCACAACAGTAAGGTTAGCCTGTCTTTCATAAGCTTGTGTCATGCCAGTGCTTTGTCCTCCTGTGTAATGTAGGTCCAGTTTGGCATTTTCTTCCAAAACAGGCCTGTTTTGTCACAAACACTTGTTGGGGTTTCAGTCCTTCAGCCTCTATGTACCCCTGGAATTCCTGCACATACTTTTCAGCTGCTTTTTGGTCTGAACTGGCAGCATCACCATGCCTCATCGCACTATGTATGCCACTACGATTCTTAAATCTCTCAAACCAACCTTTGCTGGGCTGAAATTCACTCACATCACCTCTAGTTAATTAAATCATCATGCAACTGCCTTGCCTTTTCACATATGATCGCTTGAGAGATGCTATCTCCTGATATCTGTTTTTCATTTATCCACACCAGTAACAGTCTCTCAACATCTTCGAGTACTTGCGATCTGTGTTTCATAAAGATACTTGCACCTTTCGCAACAACAGCTTCTTTGATTGCCTTTTTGTTGGTCAGGATAGTAGTGATGGTTAACTGGGGTTTGTTGTACAACCTGGCCAGCTCAGAGCCACGCACTCCACTCTCAAACTTACTAATTATCTCTTTCTTCATTTCAATAGTAATTTTCACCCTTTTTCCCACAGGGTTGGCACTAGAAGCTTTCTTTGGGGCCATGGTGGCTTATTTAGCTGTTACAAGCACTAAAAACACTGGAATAATACAAAATGTTCCGAATATATGCATGGAAGCGACTGCACTGACTTGTAAACATTGGCACACTAACTGAAGGCAGGCCAGCTGAGGCGTGCTCAGGCCAGCCAGATGCTGGATGCATACGGGATGTATGGGACGAATGATGTGAGTCTAAGTTTTTCAATGTAGGTCGGGGTCAAATTTTTATGCTGACTAGCATTGTAAGTCGGTTTTATCGTAGGTTGAGGTCATCATAAGTCAGGGGTCCACTGTATTTTGCAGTGCCCTCTTCCAACCCTGCCTTGTTGTAAGACCATTTTTTGGACCTAACACCCCTATACCTTCTGAAGGTAACACTTCATTACCCACCCCTGGTACCAAGATTATGCCTAACTCCTTTGATACATCCGACCTCCGCGTGTCTTTGACCATGTTTCTGGCTTCTTCCTTTGTGGTGTGACAGTTTTCAGATTGCCTGCACATCTAAGGATGGACCACCTCTGGTCACACACCTAAATGACGATGGCCATAAACAGATGACTCTTCTCCGATTACCTCACTCTTCCCAGAAAAGACCAGTATGACACTCGCTCCCCCTCACACACCACGTTTCAAAGTACACAGTGGGCTATGTTTTTCACTCTGCAGCCAACATCTCCCCCTGACTCTTTCTGATCATAGTATCAGCAAGGCACTCTTGCACCATTTTAGTCAAAATAATTAATTTCATGCTCTTAACCCTTTCAGGGTTGGTGCCGTACTAGTATGCATAAATTCTAGCACCTTCAAATCTAGCGAGAGAAAGCTGGTAGGCCTACATATGAGAGAATGGGTTTATGTGGTCAATGTGCGT